CGCGCGCGGGGCCCGCGGGCAGGTGCTCAGGCGCTGGCTGGAGGAGGGAGGGCCGGCTGGCGGGCTTCCCCACTTTGCTTTTGTTTTAATCAAGGGGCTTCAGATTATGGCCCTCTGACGATGAGGGGCACCTCATCGAGCGTGGCCTCGCCTCTGAACGCGGTTTGATTGGACGCTGCCTCGGGTCTGCAGTAAGCTGGACAATCTTAACGCTCAGAAAGCCCCTGGAAAAGATAACGGTTGTATTTCACGTGGCAGTGAAATCGGGAAACAGTTCCTTCAAATAAAGTTTGGTATCGTTAATGAGACGTTTTGTTGCAAGATTAGTCTAATGCTCTTGATGCGCTAATGTAAGCAATAAATCACCTGTGTGAAACTTCCTTCAAAAAGTCACAAAAATGGATTTAGCTCTGCAGGGAGACAGACCTTCCTGTGATCTTTGCGTGTGAGACTACAGAAAGAAAATCATAAAAATATTTAATAAAGACAAGCAAAGAGGCAAAGGAGAGCAATAACAGCAAAATGCATAAAGAACATGGCAGCCAAAAGAACCGGGTAAAAAGCTTAGAAGGAACGCAGCTGAAGGCATTTTTGTGAAAATACATGAATTAGATACAACTTGAAAATGCATAAGATCTAGCTATTAATCATACTAGGCTATAAAATGGGAATGTGTTTTCAGTAACTGCAAAAATATTTAACATATGTATATGTATATAAAAATTTTGTACTTTGTGGAGTGTTTGGGAAATTCAGAATTTTGTTCACGATGTTTAAAAAGTTTTCCTTTCTCCTTGCTGAGAAAATAGTTCTCCTTGCTGAGAAAATAGAGCAGCAATCTTGCTGAGGGGTTCTAGTGCTTCTAGGTTTGATTTTCATTGGTTTGGGTGGAGGGATTTCACATTTGGCAGACCATAATAGGGATGATGCTTTTTGTGTCTTCATAAAGAGACTATCCTAGTAACTCCAGTATGCAAGCTTTCACATAGTCCATAGGGATTTTCTAGCTTCTTATAACTAAATTCTGCAGACATGTCATCCTTAATGATCTTTCCTGTTATGGATATAAAAGAATAATCACTTCTCTACTGTCTTATTTTTTCAGCTGCTGCTAGGTGGGGAACAGGTATCAAAAGGGAAAACTTGCTTGTACTGTTAATGGCAACAAACCGCCCATCCATGTGAAGTTTGAAGACAGTTAAAATACAGAGGAGGCAAGAGTTGGACTTTGAGTGCTGGCAAAGTGAGTAGAATGTGCCAAAATGCCTGAGTGGAAGCAGGCAGACAGGAGGAAAAAACAAATCATGCTACTAAATTAGCTAGTTGGCTAAGTAACCTGTAATTGGAATGAAGAATGAGGAAGGCATAGGGATTTTGTCTAGGAAGAGGGTTGAGGAGAAACACACTGGTAAATGTAATTCTAGTCCTCGTTTGCGGTCTTGTTGTTGTCTTAGTGTAATTTTTTTGTTAACAAATGTGTAAATTAGACTGCCTGATTTAGTCGTCAAGGGTCTTCTGCCTATTTGTGAAGAATATACATTTTTTTCCATTTCCAGTGTCTGCTTCCATTGCCGTTATCCATATTCCATCATTCAACCTGGGAAAAGCATGGAGTAGGGTATATGCTGGGGAATGTTTTTTTTAAATAAAGTGGAAGAATGAACCAAGAGTAGGATGTTTATTATTGATCTCTCAGATGTTTTTGCAGTCTGCAATAGGAGCACATATGGATTACTGATAAAGCTGGGAAGCAAATTACATTTTCTTTTATCGTTTTTAAAAATGAAGTTAGGGCTTATGAAAGGTACTGGATTCAGGCTCTGGAGACTGAGCTTCTCTGTTTATCCACGAAATAGATATTGTACGTCACTAGCAGAGGCAATGGAAACAGCAAAGATCTCAAAGTTCTTGGGCTGCCTGTCTGTACTTCTCATTCCAAGTGCAGGTACCAAAGGGGAAGTTCACTCTGTGTACAAAGCACAAACTTAATTCTATGGCTTTCTTCCAGTATGCATAAATTAAGATGCAGAATAAGGATGGTTGTCATTATTACTGACAGGAACTTTTGTTCACTATAGTCAAACTTAGAAATGTCAGCTTTGTTGTGTTGGGTCATGTTGTCTGTGTGGCCTCGCCTAGATTGTTTCTGTATTTTCCTACTCTTTGAGACTCCTTGAATACAAGCATTTCAAATTTCTCAAGTGTAAAATCAAAGCCGTGTAACCATACTCCATTTAGTGTATTGTGAATTAACCAGAAGAAAGCTTTATGCGTTCAAAGCTTTTCTTGTTTGCAGAGGGGAACACAAATATGGAATTTTTCGAACAGGTGCACATCCTGCTTTTTGCTAGTAGATTATGAACAGTAATACACTTGTAGCGTAGTATGTTTTGCTATTAGCAATTAAAGGAGTAAAACCATTTTCCCTGTATCTGCAGAAATTACCCACTATAGCAGGCATGTTTCCTCATGAAAAATATAAATAGGCATAGCATTAGTGGCACAAGTATGTACAAGCATTATCACCTGGTTGATAAATAGATGAAGTTAATGAAGCAAAATAGTGTATTTTTTCTTATGTTCAGCATGAAAGGCAAATTAATACCGCTTTCAAGAACTTGAACCATCCTCTCAGACCTCTGAAGTTTTTTTTTAGCTTTGTGTAAATAATTTCAGAATCTGCTATGTTAACTAAAACATGATATATGTAAATCAGAATGCTGTTTCTGAGACTTGGTACAGCTAAAACCGGTGTAATTTACTGCTGTTATTGTCTTTACCAAAAATGACAGGGTATTACCTGCAAAACTTTCTATTTTTGTATAAATTACGATTTAAGGTTGCACACAAGATGACCAGGTGTTGCTCAGAAGTTAGTTATTGGTTAGATACAAGTGTTTTTTATCTGTCAGAACTTGTTGTCCTCTGAATTTGTGAGAATTACATGAATGTAGAAACTTGACTGACAGTAAGAAGAAAGGATGTTTATCTTCATAGTTGTAGAGGGAGGTCAGCAATAGTTCCCTTCTCCTACTGATGAACATAATGCTGTTGTTAATAATTTAATACGGTACATTTAATAGTAAGATTCTCCTACGAGCTTGGTGTAGATTTTTGCTACTGCTATTCTTGGAATGTGCTGCTGCAGAATGAGAACAAAATAAATAAGTCATATACAGAAGAAAGACTTACTTGACTTTTTGCCAGGAATGTTTTTAAGTTAGGAATATGCGCCTATCCACACTGGGGATACCTGCTTAGGGATCACAGTATTATTGCAATTTTAGAAAGGTCATATTTTACTTGAAAACGTGCATACAATTTAGGCTTCTGCAATGCATGTTTTCTGAATCCTTTCCTGTCAATTTCTACGTTTTCCTGCCAAAATGTTTTTTCTTAGCCTAATTGTTAAAACATTTTTAATATGTTCCGTGTAGTACTGTTTGACTGCCTCAGAAACTAAATTGCAGTTTTAACAGTAACAAAAAAGCTCTATGATTATAGAATACCTCATTTGAAATGCGTGATACATCACTTTATATTCAAGGGAAAGCTATTATATGTAGAATTATAAAGTTAAATTAAGTTCTGCCCCTGACATTACAAAGTACTGTAATACTGATTTTTAAATTTTTAAATTGCACTTAAAACACGTAACATATGACCAGACAGATAATCTATTAAGTTCTAGATAGAACTTCATTATTTCTGCCTTGTCACTGGTGCATGTACACGCTAGAACTCAGAACCAAATAATGTATAATTTTTTTTCAGAGAGAGTGGATTTGCACGTGTATATTTTATGATTTTGTTTGGGATAACATCATAGGGAATTTTGCACTCCATAACTCATTTGCTGTTAGGAAAATTGTTGTGCTTAAGGCAGACTGTATTCCAATAGCTTTGAAATCTGTGGTTTGAGGAGGCTAAAGTAA